CCCCAAAACCCCAAAACCCCAAAACCCCTATTTATATGCAGAGTTTTGATGTAATTACATTATTAATAATGTTTCCAACTTGTAAACAGCCTGGTTGCGATAGTGAAGCAACCGCATTTGTGTCATCAAAATGCATCCTTGTTTGTAACGGTTGTGCTGCTGGGGTATATTTTAATGAGACTGTCAGTTCTCTTCCCAATCCAAAGATCGCAGAGAAGTCTCTTGATTATGGTAAGATTTGTCCATCAAGAAGAGATCATAAATTGGTATAGCAAGCTACTTGCTCGGTGAAATCATTGAAGCTAAGAATCAGCATGAGATTACTCAGTACTTCAAAGATGTTGACCAGCAGATTCAAGCCATGAGAGGCGATCTTGGTAAGCTTCAGGAAGAGAACAAAATCGTTCTTGGAGAGATAGACAAAGTTGAGGGTGGAGAGCTTTTATATATCAAGCATACTACAGGATGCCAAAAATTTGTGAGAACTATCACAAATTCAGAGAGTTATAAAGCATACCAGAATCTTGCTACTTCACTTCAATACCAAGAATACATGCGTGCTAAAAGTAGGCTCTACTATCTCATCAGAAAATTCTAAAGCTTTTTCTAGAGCAGGGAAGCAGTTCTTCAGCACCTAATACCTCAAGTTCTCAGAAATTCAAGGTAATAGGCTTATCTTCTAGAATAAATTTTTGATAATTTTGTGACTTATTGGATGTATAGTCATTTCAAACCACAGACACTTTGCATAAAGAAGTAATGAAGCTTAGGGCTGAACTAGAGCAAGAGAAGCAACAAACCTCTGATTTGAGTATGCCCAAATGTAACTTCTTCCTTTAGAAACTGAGAATGAAACCATTAAACAGCAGTTGAACGAATCCCAAGAGATAATTCAACAAAAAGATGAAGAGATTAAGAAATTAAGAGCTGACGAACTTGAAGAAGACAAGGAAGACTCTGACCAGGTACACACTCTTTAATGATTAACTTCTTTGTAGTATTATGAAGAAACAGAAGAAGAGAAGGCTAAGAAGTTCAAGAAGATATATAAGAAGATCTTTAAAACTTCTTGCCAGCCAGATTTGTTATTCGACCTACTCTTATGAATGAATGGTGATGCAGCCAACTTAATGAAGCACTATGTGCAAAGATCATTGCCAGTGATAAATAAAGGTATTATCAATGCTCTATCTATAGTTAGACTCAACGGACTCATGTGGTTAGGTGATAATTCTCTAAAGAACGTAAGTCAATATAAGCACTTTTAAATCTTCTAAAATATTCAAAGGAATATTTATAGCAAATTCCTCTGCGATTTATTATTAATTCTTTCGTCTGAACAAGGGTTAGAACTTTTGACTAAAATTTTTGATCCCATAGGGTGATTTAAGAAATACTTTCTATCCATCATAAATGAACTTATTTACAAAGACCACACTTTTTGGAACTTTTTGACTTCTGATCTAACAATACATAGAGATTCATAAGATATGGAGTTGCAAAAGGAACGAATGAGTTTGAACTAAGCTTCAATGACAGTTGGACTGATATAAATGCTAGTCGTTCAGACTATCTTGCTTACCACGAAAGCTGTGTGATCGTAGCAGGGAAGGTGAAGAAAGGATTTACTCTGAGATTCTGCAAACTTGATAGAAAGGAAGTTGAAGAAATCATCATAGGGGGCAAGAACTGTGAGTCTATCAGATTTATTTCATGCGTCCTAAAAACAGATGAGGAGTGTGACTTTGGAGATGCGCTTAAGGATGCTACCTTTAAAGAGCTTGACTTCAGATCTTCTGGTAAAAATTACTCAAACTGGGAATCTAACCCCCACTATTACGAAAATATCATCAAGGGTATTAGCAAGGGCTCCCCAGCATCAAAGACGAACTTGAGATTCGTCAACATTGGAAATTGTGATGGGTTCACCATGGATCAGGCAACTGAGATTTTGAAGAAATATGGATTTGTTAATGCACTTGTTACTTAGATAATCATGTTGTAATGGGTGTGGCTTGGTGTTCTTTTACTGTAGAGCTATGTTTAGGCATGTTTAGTTTATATAAATTCCTCTAACTCCAAAGCCTCTAGGATAAAATTCTTAATGTGTATGCTGCTTCAGATGCTCAGTCTTTTTGCTCCAAAGTTTCAAATTTTGAGACTAAATATGGGGTTTTGGGGTTTTGGGGTTTTGGGG